ATTAACCAATCTGTTTGGTGTCTTCGAAGCGTGAGTCTTTCTTTAAGACATTTTGTAAGTTTGATACCAGATGGAAAGTGGCAATATCAACTATGTAGTTATGTAGAATAGACATATTAAGACTGTTTGCTATATTGCAGAAATAGAATGTAGTCAATCTATTTACAATATTAACAAATCGTAAAAAATAACAAAATTTTAATTTATACTATAAAATTAATTTAATATTTAATAAGCAAACTAAAGTAGCATATAGATAAACAGTGGTCTCTGTACAGAGGAGAAAAGCCGCGAAATTATAATAATAATGTTATTATTATTCAACAAGTGGGATGGGATTGGCGTAGGTTTTAGACCAGTACAGAACGCTGAAATGAGTATCTATTCGTCTTTAAATATTGTTTTGTTACAAATAAATTGTTATTATAATTTCTAGTATTATTTATAATTTCCACCTACGCTCCTTTGATTTACTCTTCAAGCAATAATAAGTATTTAAATTAATACAGTATTATTTGTTTCAAACTTTCATTATTTTAATTATTTGATTTAAGTTATAAGCGGTACCTAACAATAGACCGTATTACAAATAAAATATTTAAGGTAAATTAATTTAAGGGAAAAAGATTGTTAGTAATGTAAACTAATAACGATTTGATTTTGTATTCTATTAGGCAGGCGATATGTTTAGTCTTTACTAATTACCATAAGAAATACGTGGAACTGAAATTAGTTCTAACGATTTGGTGCCATACGTAGACGGTTTTAAAGTGCTGTTAAAACTTTTGATATTATTATTGCTAACGAAATAATTATTTTATTTATGTAGTCGTAAAAGAAGCTAAGCCGAAAGACAATGTTAAACAATTTTAGACAATGTTAGAAATTTCACAAAACATTTAATATTACCAAAGAAGTAAAGTGGAAAATTGAAATTTAAAATATTCATGTGCGGTCAAGTGATCAATTTAATATGATGAGTTCACAATTTGTATTCAGATTTCCACTTTTCGTCTTAGTATAGATAGTTAAGTTCCAGAGTTTCCTATATGTCTTTCAGTTTAACAACTAACCCTATGGAATAGATTACATGCTGAACCATCACAATATATATGATAGTGTAGGTGTACTACTGTTATCCCGCTTTAGTAGCAACAAATGGCTCTTATCTGTCACTGCCGAGATACAAGCGCTGACGAGTGTCGCGTGTCAAAGCTTGTCATTTGAACTATAAACTTACGGCGGTCATACAATTTATAACCATCTTGTGTAGTTTATACCTACTTTACCCTCGATTCATTGCACGACATGTCGAATTAGATGCTTGAATCTTAAAATAAGAACGGTAGAGTTCAATATGGTATATACAATAAAATATACTTAAATTTTGTTCGTCAAAAGAAATTGGCCTATTTCTGCCTAAGTGTAGAAGTGATTGGTTTATTATGATAACGTATTAAACAGTTGAATTGTTCATACACTATTTTTATCTTTCACTGTTCTGAGTATAGTCCTCCGAAAATTGGCATGAGACTATTTTTTTAACTATGACTGTGTAGATAACCTCTTTCGCAACAATTGTGTTGGATATTGGTGAAAAGTAATAGAATAAGTATAAAAACTGCTACATTTTGGGCGAGGACCTAAATACTGTTGCAGTCTGCAACAATTTTTAGGTCCTCGCCCAATCTAGAAAAAGAGTTATAACCCTTACACTGCATTTGCTTGTAAGATTCTCGTTACTAGAACATTTTCTTCCTCGTCGTGTCAACCATAAATTTATACGCATACCTATTGATATTATGATATTTATCCTTTTCAACATGAAATAAACATAAATTATTATATTACAAGAATAAAAAATTATTGTGGCTATAATTACATTAATAGAAAGTAGAGATTTATTAATACTTTAACCCATTACTAACGCGTTATTCTATAACGCGTTAGTATATATATATATATAATATTATATCTTATATATATATATATATATATATATATATATATATATAATATCAATATCTTAAAATTAATAAATTGCGGAAAAAAATAAATCGTTAAACGAAATATATAGCTTTTCTCCTGCATAAACAGAGTTCAATAAAATATTACAAAAACAGAACAATGCATATTCATTGAAAATGAAATGCACATTTCACTGCATTTTTATAAAAATATACATATTTTGTTGTATTGTTATATACGATATGAATAATACATAGTCATTTAAAATTTAAATGGATTTATACGTACGTAATATTCCAATCGTATTAGAGCTCTCTATACTGTCAGAGGTCTCTGTCATCACGTTCATAATTAGAAGGAATTAATTTCATTCTTTTTATTTATATGTTCATGCAAGTTAGCGCACCGCCTTGTTTCCGATAGTTCGATTCTTCGCACGGTATATTATATTGTAATCATGAGCATGATTGTTTGTATGGGTCTGGGTATTTTCATAATACAAGCTCTGATTGACTTGCGACTAGATGACGCTGTGTGAAGTGTTCTGAGATAATATTATTATTTATTATCATTAATTTTAAGCACTATTAATGTTTCTATAAAAACATGAACTCTAATTAATGACAGTCGTTATTTACTAATGATTGTTACTACTATTATATGCATTTAACAGCGTTTCAAGTCAGGAAGGAAAAGTTGAGAGTGAATTATATTTAAAAGTCACCTATATTTAAAACTGGCTTGTCATCTGTACTTAATGTATTTTTAACATAATTAGAGCTTCAACGGAATTAATATCATGTTTTTTTAAATGCGATTGGCATAGCAACAAATCAAATCAGATAAATTTTCTTGTCTAAATGTTTTTTTATTTATTTATTGTCAATACAAATATAATAAATTTACATATAATAAATTAACAATACACACATGGGCTCTGTTTACAGAGTGTAGCAATGTTATTGATTCTTACCAATCCTTTATCTATTCATTCAACTGAAATTGACTGGCTGCTGAAATAGGTGATACAGTTGTACTTAATTATGTGAACTTTATAAAAGCCTCCGTCTTAAACTATTGTGATATATCAAATATTAAAATTGAAGAGGTAGGAAGAGAGAGCACCTATGTACGTTTTGTGAGGTTTTCTATAGTAACTCACCTCGGTTTAATTATTACATAATTGTTCATAATTCACTAAAGAAATAGATTATTTAGTAACGGTCAAACCGTTGAAATTAAAAAGAATTTTAAAACTTTAAATCTAAAGAGGCGATTAAAACGTCAAGTAGGAGTTTATCTTTGGACTTCAAAGAAGATCTGATAACTCAGTTTATGACATTATGATGACTGATCACGTTGACTGATTATTTCCTGGTCGTCTAATGGACACCTATATATATAATCATTTAGAAAGTAATATTAAATAGCAGGATCTTGAGGAAAGATTATTTTTTTATATAATGTACCATTTGTTTAATTTACTTTAGATATTTGACTCGTGAAGTCAAATATCTAATTTCTGTAGGGGTTCATAAATGGTAAAATTAATACGACAGGTACCTACATCATAAATTATTGTTTTATCTGAAATCAATTTGCATGTTTAATATTAGGTGATATGAAGTTGTTTTTTAATATACTATTAGTTTAGAATATCTGAATTAAATATCGGTATGGATTGTAGGTAACATAACATGCTAGATTTGAATAACCCCTATTAATAAATGTATAGGTACATTATGATGCAAAATATATCGAAGAAACATTTTTGAAAGTTACTTCCAATATTTAAGACATATTGAATTGGTTTACATCAAGGAAATTATAGCATTTAAATACTTATCTATGTGAAGTAAATGACTAACATAAAACGACTCAAAAGTTTTAATTTATTTTGCCAAAGAGAACCGCCCTTTAGTAAGTGCCATATTAGCATATAAGTACTAATTACTATTTAGAAACAACAATTGAATAAATATAACAATTAAAAAAGTATAAATAAAAAAAAGAATAGGTAATTGTTTCAGAGTTGATTTACGTGTTTTTTTGCTTGATGTTCTTTTTTTTCATATTAAATTCGGTGTGAATTTTAATATATTATTTATATTATTTACCGGATCTTAACACGCATAATTTTATGGCAAATAAAGGCATTTACCTCTCTCCACATTTCGAGGTTGCAGTGTTGCAGTAGCCGTGGTCACGAGCTGACAGTGTCATAAAATTATTCGTGGTAGATCCGATTACTAGTATAAATAAAGTATTAAAATTCACACCGCATTTAATATGAAAAAAAAGAACATCAAACAAAAAACACAACACACACGTTCAATGAATTTTAATAGTTAGGTACTGGGAAATAATAAATAAAATCTCTACATTATGCATAGGTACCATAAAATATTAAGAACTAATGTTTATTTTAAAAAATTAAATTTCGAACTCAGTATCTGAGCACCCATATTTCCTATACTGTATCATGTTGAAGGAGATACAATACAAAACATGACATGCAAACGTGATCCAATGATAGATGTGCTATTATAGAGGTCAATGGTATTGGGTTCACTCAATCTAAAGGAATAAAGATGTAGATAAATATTCTAGTATTTACATATGATTTTATTTTATTTTAATTCCAAATCGGTAAAAAGTTATAATATTAATAATAGGTATGAGTATTACCCTTAATAATCTGATAATCACAGATGATAATAACATTCATTATTACCTAATGATATTTATTTGGCATACAATACACCTGTATGAAAGTTTCTTGTTTATTCTTTTTGTAGGTAAAATCCTAATCAATCGGAAAAGTCTATCCAATACGGGAAAGTTTGGCGAAGTAAAAGTTTCCAAGCGAGGCGAACTGAATTTACTGTGAAGGATTCATTACCGTCCACGACAGGTAAAATGAACTTAAACGGGGTCTATTTTTATAATAAAAGACATTTTAAAATTGACATTAATGATTTCAAAAGTAAATGTATGTATAAGACATGATGTTATTCAACTAATACACTTACCGCTAAAATTGTTTAAACTCAAATAAACTCAACCTTCATAGTTCTTGAACACTTAAAACCTTGTCTATCCAAACGACCACGTTACGAACTTTTACAAACACATATCGTGAAATACAGTTGGAGCCGAGTTCGATATAGTTTCAGATGGGAACGTTGCAGGAGCGACTACTGCGTCCCCACTCTCGAAGCTGACTGGAGCAGGGATCTCGACGGAGTCTGCGTAATAGGACGGCATCCCTACAGATTGCTATATGGGAATAAACGCTAATAAATTACGTACATCGTACACGCGTAACGCGAACAGCGCTGTGTTCTTGATTAGTTTGAAGTCAGCCGCTAATGTGTTAGACATGCACGCAACCGAGATTTAGGGGGCAGTTTGTTTGTATTTAAGTAACATAAAGATACAAGTACTTACATAGATAAAGTATCTCCCTTGATTTTCTATTCTATTGAATTGAAAACTTTTTACGATTCGAACTGAAACTACACAGTAAGAAAAACGTAAAATACATATTAAATATTACTTTTAAAAAGTTCTTAGTTATTTTGTACAAAATAAAATATTAAAAAAATTAAGCCATATCATCTAGTGGTTTTCTACCCTGACATACAATTTAAAATTGCTTGACACAAAAAAACTCAGTTAATTTATATTTCTGACTAACTTTCAAGCCAAAGAAATATCATCCGAGAGATGGTGGTATGGTTATATTATGTAAATACACATAGCTAAATGTAGGTCTGCAGGTTTTTTTTCGGTATACTCTAATGCTGTTGGCTGCAGCTGGCCTATACAGCTTTACTTGGAGCGGCTGAAGGTCAACTTCGGCCTGACAGATACGACTGTCACTGTGGGCACCGTTAGAGGTTTGAACCTCAATCCTAATTTCGATCCTCGATCCTAATTGGTCGGTGGATTATGACATGCAAGTGTTGCGTTCACTGCTATACGACAGTTTACAATGCTTCTGACGGGTTGTCTGAGGCATTGACAAATATATGATAATGACATATGATTATTTTAATTATTATATTAGGGATGATAAGTATCCTTCATACTGTATTTAATAATTATGCAAGGAAAATCATAAAATACCTTCATAACTATCATCCCTATTACTATATTAAATTCTAATTAACCTTCTAATTTTCCAGATTTCAAACATAGATAAATTAATTTTGGAACTAATTGAAAACTACTACAATGGAATAATGTGGTTTGAGTATGATGAGTAAAGTTTTGAGGGAGAAAATATATTTAAAAAATATATTTGTGAACGAAGGATTGTATAGTGTATATATATTGGGCTGATACATATAATTATGCAAACACGGGTTTTAGGAAGAAATAATATAAAGTATAACAGTTATCAGAACAAGAATGACAATGATATATATATTTTTCTATATAAAGTAATAGACAAAATACATAAATAATAAACAAAGAGGTGCGTCGTGCCCAATATTTATCAACAAATATTTAAAAAAATCTCCTTAGCATTACCGTCTGCACGTATTCAATCGCTATGAGCTCTCTGAATATTGAAAGTATTAAATATACCTCTCAACTCCCATCTGGACTTCATACGAGGTGCTTTTAGAATTTTATATACTTACAAGAATATAAAGTATATCGATTAAGTAATATGATTCAAACGATATCGCATCTTTTTAGCTGCGCACTGAGTACACCTACGACTAATAATGGCACGTTAAAAATTTGGGGACAGGGAAATCGTTCAATCATTACCATAAAGAAAAAAATGAAATTTAAAAGACAAGTCGTATGGTGCTTTTTAATATACTACATATTTGAATAATTCTAAATAATGAAATAATAAGAATAGAGCAAACTATTATAAATGAAACAGAAATGGCAGCATATTATGACACGAAAATATTTCAAATAATTTGAGAAATTTGATGATTGTAATAATTTGAAAAACGAAAAACGAATAGTTTTGTTGCAATCTTTAAAATAATACGAGAGAGTAAGTGGAATAAACTGGCATGCAATCATATTTTGTTATGATTCTCAGATTGGATACTCTTGACTTAACCCTCCAAAAACGATGCCGAACAGATATTAAGAAATTTGATAAGTATCAATTTTGGCAACCCATTCGACAATTAGTACACAGTTTCAATATTTTGTCAAATACCTGATACCATAAGTGCTATTCTAATTTTATTGTCCCTCTATAATATTTTAATAACCATCGTTTAAAAATGCTATGTATATATATACCTTTTTGCGTAATTACCTGTTAATTATTCCTAGTAGTAATTAAATGCATTTATATTACTGAAGTACAGAAATAATGTATGGTATGCGCGGCTTTTTACTTGTATATCATAGCATGCTTTTTGTTCTTCTTTTCCCGCTCCCCCATTTATTATTTGTTTCATGACAATCAGTCCACATACAAACAAATTATATCCTGTTGTTATGCGCTTGTGATGTTGCGGTCGCTACTGGTCTGTAATAATAATACATATGAAATTAAAAAGGAATTGTTACGTTACAATATTGTTATTGCTTCCCCACCCACCTACTTATATATTAATATGTTGGTAAATGTTTAGCAAGACGAAATAATATAGGATATATTGAGGACAAGAAAACAATCCCGCAACGTTTTACCCTCAGTAAAACTTAGACTGGGAGTTGACCCAGCTTTACCGGGTTTCCTTTACAGAAAGTTTTCATATTTATTTTTTATATAGAACTAAAGTGTATTGTATTGAGGTTTTCCCATTTTTTTAAATAATGAACTACCAAAAATACTTCGCACATTGTGTTGGATTACAGTGGATCCGATAAGACGGTGCGCGGAAAGGCAGGACGCGCATACCAATATGCTTTAAGTGGCTTTGCAACCAAATCTCTGAGAAAACGTTTGAAACCGGAGTTTAGGGGTACATAGTAGAATAATATTACAATATACTCGAAAATAGTAAATACCAAAATTGTTTTGTAAGTCAATATTTATAAAAATAAAAATTAATCACTAAATGTGTTGCTAACCCAAAAAAATTAAGGATAGCTGAAATAAATTGATATTTTTTTACATTTAAAAATTCTTTGAAACTTGGGGAAGGTTTTCATGATAGGAAAAAATATTGGGAAGTTGTAAAATTATTAAACGTCAAAGTATTCGCCATTAAGTACATTATATATAAATTTAATAGAACGAATTTATAGAATTAAAAGTAAGCCGTGATAGATGTTTTGAAATTGCCAGTCATTGTTAACTCTGTAAAATACATTTAGATATTAACAAAATAATTGAAATTATAAAATATCAATAAAGTAGAAACAGAATTCTGTTATTAAAAATATTAATATCTGTAATACTGCGTAATATATTCATTGTTAATAATTTGATATATTTATTATGTATATAGTATGTTGATGTGTAGTAACTAATTAATATACATATGAATGTGGAAAAAAACTTTCTATTATCGTTGCAGGGATACGAGTCTCACAATATAACTAATCATATTCCCACTGCTAGATATATGAGTCCAGCAATGTAACGATGATAAGTTGTAATGACGGTTATCATATTTTATTTTATTGAATCGGCAATAAAAGAATCGAAGCAGAATAAATGTAACTGAATAATAAATATCCTATTAGCAGACAGTCCTGCTGCATCGTGTATGTACGTATGTAATAATTCTGATATTATTAAAAACAACCCTGAAATATGAAATGTGGCTAGCGGTAGATTTACTACCACTGGACACGCATGTGGCCCAAACACTCACTGTATGTAGGTATAATTCTCATTGTATTAATTTAAAACGCGGATAATGGGACTTATGAATGAGACTGTAACCTTTTGAATAAACATTTGGGTCCATGTTTTTGTTTTATCTATTCTATTTTCATAATGCGAAACGGGTTATTTGCGTAGCTCTTCCGCGCCGCGGACGGTTGCAAACAAGAACTTTCTTTCCTCGCGTTCTGCACGTCATTTGTTGACGACCTGTATACACAGGGTTACCAACAGAATTTGAACAAGTCCACTAGGTAGACCTATGCTATCTACTTTAAATCACATAATTTTTTAAACAGATCACAAGAACAATCGATTTGTTAAAAGTGAAAGCCAAGCATAATTTGATAACAATGAAATAAAAAAATTCTGTTGGACTAATTTTATAGAAATACGAAGTATTTCTATAACAATAACTTAAAAAGTGATTCTATCTAGAAAGTTTATCATTCACTTTACTAATGAGAAAGTAACATATAAAGTGAAATATATTTTATTTCTATTATTATTTTCTTTATTTTTCAATACCTCTAAAAATTTACTAGCCACAAGATGCTAATTCTGCCCGCCAAAGGAGAGAATAAAATACGCCAGTTCTTATGGTAAATTCTCTAAGATGGTAATACAGTCGCGCCTACTACTACTCCTATATATACATACGAGTACTGTGCTGCCCCCGGCTAAGGACTTACGTGATTTTATGATGTGCGTTTAAAATGAAATACAACCACAAAAGTTATTTATATTATGTTGGCAGACGAGCTGAAAATGCTTGTGTTTCATCAGGCTGGATGAATTAATTATGATTCTGAAATGTAAAGGTCATTACCATTTATATACACAATTTTTTAAATTAAATAAAGGCAATTATTTATTACATTATCTTACAAGGATTGATACTAATATAAATTTTGGAATTGAATGAATTGCAATGTGTAGTCTATGTAAATCTGTGAGTTCATATATAGTTTATGTATCTTTTAATACATACAAATTGACACAAACGTGCATAAACTATTCAGAATAATAATAATAATAATAAATCCATTTATTGCCAATAATACTTACATGTCTATCGCTAATCTTTATACCTAACTTAATATTGCTTGCAAAAATGTCTTATGTAAACTGAATTAACATTTCATTCAATAAATAAGAATTAAAATGGGTTTACAATTGGCGAAGATGTTCTATTTGACGTCGATTGAAAATGCAAAAGAGATAATGAACTGTCTCGGTAAAGAAAGTTATCTAAACATAAATAAATATATAATAAGAGACTTGGAAATAATTGAAAACAAAATATCATTATGACAGTGTAATGAAGACAATGGTATTTAATAAATTTCAAAATTAATATTGCAGAAATTTATTGTGGAAAT